TAAACAATTGATACGAACCATCGACACTATTCACAAGGTGCAAAAAATAACCAGAATTTTTGCAGATTTAATATTCTCGTAAAAAAGGGGGTACAGTTTTGCAAACTAATCCTTTATGCCAAGACCACATTTAAGCCGACAGTCGGACGACCAAATTTTTATCGTATCGTCTGCTGAAAGAACATGATATTGTGACAAGTTTTTCGGGCGATGCAGAGTAGTCACAGTAATTTCTAGGAACACCAATGCCTTTAAAACCCCAGTCACATTTCCAAAAACGACCAACTGCCGACGGTTTTTGAATAAAAAATGATTCTTCGGGTGACAGTCGGCAGTTCATCAGGCCGTTGTCTTGCCCGATTTTGACCTCTTTTCTGTCGGCCGACCAATTTTGCGACCATCGGTCCAAGTTATAATTTTTTTCTGCGTCGGTGGCTGATTTCTTCAATTGAAGTTATCCGAAAAATATTGTTGATTTCTAAAGAAAAAAAAAGATTTTTTGTGTTATTTATCCAAGTCATCGGTGTTCCTCGGAATTAATGTGACTGCTCTGTGTCGCCTAATGCCTAGAACACATTTAAGCCGATGATCGGGCGACAAGATTTCTCTGGTCTTGTCGGCCGAAAGAACATGATCGGCCGACAAGAGTATCGGGCGACACGGAACAGTCACATTAATTCCTAGGAACACTGATGACTTGGATAAATAACACAAAAAATATTCTTCTTTTTTTCTTTAGAAATCAACAATATTTTTGGTAGATCTATATTCGGTTAGGTGGCGTGAGTAATATTTGCTAGACAAAGTGGCAGATTTTTGTAAGATTGTGACTCAATGTTGAATACGTATGTAAAATTTTGTATAGAATTGCATAAAAACGACAAATGGCGCATATCTGAGCAGCAAAGAATACTCCAGATTTCTTTATAACTTAAGGATTTATTATTTATGTTATTTCCGTTCAATATATATATATATATATATATATATATATATATATATATATATATATATATATATGCATTAAAAATTTTGTTTACTTTATGTATCCTTAATATGTTAAATATTTACAAGTCGGCCAATCGTCGATCGATCATCGAGCTCTGAGCTACAGTTTGATTTTAACCGTCGGCCGAAATTTAGGACACCCTTATTGACGAACGACGGAGGACCGACTTAATAAACTGACAGCTGATGGTCAGAAGATGATCGAAGGTTGGTCGACGGATAACTTCAATTAAAGAAATCGGCCACCGACGCAGAAAAAATTATAACTTGGACCGATAGACACAAAAATGATCGGCCGACAAAAAAGAGGTCAAAATCGGACAAGACAATGGCTGATGAACTGCCGACTATCACCAGAAGAATCCCAATTTTGCTTCAAAAACCTTCGACCGTTGGTTGTTTTTGGAAATATGACTGGGGTTTAATACTTGTTTCGGCCGATCATGTTCTTTCAGCCGACAAGACCAGAAAAATTTAGTCTCCCGACCATCGGCTTAAATGTGACCTAGGCACATAAAAGCTCTCAACATTGCACACTAAAGGGTAGTTTTATGCAGTTAGAGTGATCTGCCTTTAGAAGTAAGATTTTAAAGAATGTTATTTACAGTTAATTACACGATTGGTAATGGATTAAAATATTTAAGTCTTATATAAGACCAAGAATATGTACTTGAATTTGTTATTTTCATATATTTACCCAATGTAAGTAAACATCAGTTATAGTTACGAGCTTCCAGGAGAAGTATAAATATTTATAGGTCTGACAACCGTCGCCAAATCATCGTATGGTCCACTGTCGAAGGTCGGCCGACATTTATACAAAACCCCAATTCCTAAATGTCCACAAATCGACAATCGACTTTAAAAAGTGTCTTCCGATGGTTGGACGATGAACGAAGGTTGAACGACACAGAAAAATTAAAACTTGGACTGACTGAGTTGAAATTGGTTAAGGAGGAGAATCTGAAAATGTTCAAATGTTAACACACCGACGTCGAACGAGTCATGAGGAAGGACGAAATCGGATAGCAATAGGTCACCTGCGTTAAAGTATCAGTCACATTATCCAGCGAGGGGGTATACGATGAGGAACCGATGCGTTTTTTGATGAAAATGGCGTGGTTGCCGGCCGGGCACCACTAGTGATCGGACGGTGACTGATGCCATTTTGAGAATCGTTGGGGTCATCGGTAGGAAATAATTCGTAGTTTGAATTCAGCGATGTCTCCAACGATGTCTCACATCGCTTCTTGTCGACAACCCTCATAACCACATCTTTCAAGGATCGGCCGACGTATGGCCGAGCATCGTCCAATATCCGTTGAATCAGAGGTAATCGAGGCTTGAGTGGTGTTCAACAGATAAGGCCGATCATCGGTCGATATTTGACCAAACATTGGCCCGTAGTCGACCGCTGTACGAACGATGTACACCAATGTATGAGCGATGTAATATACATCGGCCGATTATCTTAGAACATCGTTTTATGAATAGCAATGCATTGCTGGGCCTTTGTATTTCCGGCCGGCAACCACGCCATTTTTATCATAAAACGCATTGGTTGCCCATCGTATACCCATCGCTGGATAACGTGACTGATACTTTAAGGACTACTAGGCCGATGTGGACCGATGTTGGGGCATCGTTAACACCACGAATTACCACCGATTACCACCAGTCTACGGCTACCGGCCGGGAAATGTGACCTAAGCATAACTAAGGTGACCTAAATGGACGAAAATAGGCTGGGATCATTAAAAATTTCCTTTCAATAACAACCTGGTCAGAAAAACTGAAACTTATGTGGAACTTTCCTGAGGCAGTATAGATTTTAAAGTGTTCACATCAGGGCCCCAAGGGAAGAGTGAGGTCATAACAGGGAGTTCATTTGTTCCATACAATTACACAATTTATGATACTGCTCTGAATGTTTTCTAACAAGTTGAAGATTTATGTTTTTTGTGTGTGTGAATAATTTCTCTATCTATGTGTCCACCATAGCATGTCAAGTTCATTGAAATTTATACATTTATAAAAACGGTATTAAAATCTTCCTAAGATACCAGTACGTCATACAGCATTTGATGTCATAGTCAATTGGAGTGTTGTATAAAAGATATATTTAGCATTTGTTTTTAATTATGTCTTAATGCCAAAACAACACCGAGCTCAAAACAGATAATGTGCAATCACACCCCCTTTTTGTTGACCATGGTGATGTAATTGTTTATACCTGTATAATTGTTCATACCCTAACATTGCATTTATTTTTTTAAATTTCGATAAATATATCTCTTTTGAAAGACCGCTGTATATTTTTAGTCACAGGTTTTTTTCGTAGCCTTTAAATTTGTCGCATCGGGTTTGATATTCCGAATTTCACAATATCCAAAATCAGAATTAGGCTCTTTGCTCTTCACAGTCACGCTGCGGAAGACAGAAGGAGAAAACACTCCCAGTTTTGTCTTAAATTAAGATACGTGGATTTTTTATGACTATTTGTAGAGGTAATATTTTAGAATATTTACATTTGCAAATGTTTTCCTTTATATAACACTACTAAAGCCAAGCGTTTTTATAACTGTATAAATACAGGTACGGGGTCAAGAGGTCATAGATGTGCGTTTGGATAAACGTTCGACGTAATTTCTCTGTGACGTCATAAAGGGTCGACGCGCGTTTAGTGGATTACATACATGCTGTTGGGTTTGAAAAATTAACGCATTTCACACGTTAAAGTAATAATCAGGCAAATATAATGTATGAATAAGTCACAAATGTAAATATAAGTAATAAGGTACCATTTTTTGAGTTTTATTGAGATGTAAAACGGGTTAGCACATGATCAAATCTTCCATAAAGCCCTTTGGTTTCTAGCTCACCTGAGCCGAAGGCTAAAGTGAGCTTTATTTTTCTGATCAAAATTTGTCCGTCGTTGTCGTCGTTGTTGTCGTCGTCGTTAACTTTTCACATTTTCATCTTCTTCTCAAGAACCACTGGGCCAATTTCAACCAAACTTGCAACAAAGTATCCTTGGGTAAAGGGGATTCAAGTTTGTTCAAATGAAGGGCCACGCCCTTTTCCAAGGGGAGATAATTGTGAATTAATGAAAAATTAATGGCATTTTTAAAAAATCTTCTTCTCAAGGACCACTGGGCCAGGAAAAATGAAACTCATGTGGAATCATCCTCAGGTAGTGTAGATTCAAGATTGTTCAAATCATGACCCCCGGGGCCAGGGTGGGGCCAAAATGGTCGATCAAAGTTTTACATAGGAATATAAAGGAAAAATCTTTAAAAATCTTCTTCTCAAGAACCACTGGGTCAGGAAAAATGAAACTCACGTGATATCAAGAGGTAGTGTAGATTCAAGTTTGTTTAAATCATGACTCCGGGGGTAAGGCGGGGCCAAAATGGCCGACCAAAGTTTTACATAGAAATATATAAAAAAAAATTCTTTAAAAAGCATCTTCTCAAGAATAGCAAAACCATAATTGATTATATTTGTATGGAAGCACCCTCTGGTAGTGTACATTCAAGTTTGTTAAAATCATGACCCCCCCCCCTTGGGGGTAAGGCAAGGCCAAAATGGTTGACCAAAGTTTTACATAGAAATATATAGGAAAATTCTTTAAAAATCTTCTCAAGAATAGCAAAACCATGATTGCTCATATTTATATGGAAGCATCTTCAGGTAGTGTAGATTCAAGTTTGTTCAAATCATGACCCCGGGGGTAGGGCGGGGCCACAATGGTCGACCAAAGTTTTACATAGAAACTTATATTAGGAAAATTCTTTAAAAATCATCTTATCAAGAATATCAAAGCCATGATTGATCATGGAACTACTTTTGGATATAAACAATTCAATAATGAACCAATTTCTACTTTTTCCAAGCCACAGTGCTCAGGTGAGCGATGTGGCCCATGGACCTCTTGTTGTTTTTTTTTTATTTCAGACGCATATTTTACTTTATTTAAAGAGAAAATACTAATGGGACAAATATTTTCACAAAATAATTGTGAAACTCCAGGTATGTCTTTGTCTGCATCTAACTTACAGAATATATAGGCTAATTTTGTCCTTTCTAGTCGGTGCACTGTTTAATACGCACACATATGTGCATAGAGGTTTCATAAAGAAAACGACAAGGTCAGAAGTTGCCTGAAGTGGCTATTCCATAAATAAAACATGCAGTGATGAACAATTCAAGCTACTTATTCCTTCTTTTTTACATTTTTTACATAGACATAGATGTAAACAAAAAAATACCTTTCTCTGTGAGCATAGGAATTGTATCGTTGCAGGTTTTTTTTTAATACATAACAAAATTTTTCAATATTTACAAACAAAGAAGGCATTTTAGTGTTTAAATTTTCAAATATTAGATACATCATGAATTGCATTTTTCTAGAAATTAAATTTTCAAATAATAAGATATATCCTTAATTGTATTTTTTTAAATAATAAATTTGTTTTTAAAAAAAGTCCCAAATCTTAGAGACTGATATTGGGCGTTTTAGCTCAGAGCACGAGTTAGAGAGGACATCACTATCTTTTTGACACCTTATCAAAATTTCAGAGAGGTCGAGGGAGTGCCAAATTTATGGAAACAACGAACAAGCAAAAAATTTATTTCTGAAATTTTTGAAGTATGCCAACATTCCTCAGACTTCTTCCTGGACTGTAGATGAAATAATAGTCGCTTTGATTCTGTCACATTTCGAACAAGAAATCAATTGTGCTCTTGAAAACAGTGAGTATTTAATTTAATCCAAATGAAATCCTATGTATATTTTTCTTTCTAGGACCTTAAGGTACTCCAATCCTTAGGTCTTCAAAATCAGGCATTGAATAATTGAAGATGCTCACAAAAAAATGTCTCTGAATTCTCAGAGTAACGTGTTTTTACCCACAATGAATCTTCAAACTTCATCTTAAAAGTTAATCACATTGTATAGTGAAAATAAGTAAATTTCAAATTAATTTACAGGAAATCTAAATTAAAGCACCTTCTATGCATTTTTCAATTCAAATTTGATCAACAACCACATTTTAGAAATAAAACTTATAGGTATCCGGGCTTTTGAAGAAACTGCACAATTTTTATACAATGTAGGTACATTAATTTCTTCTATTTACTTCGATCATTTTACAATGCTAAGTGTATTCAGATTTTCCTATCATTGCAAAACACCATAAATTACTTCTTATTTCTTATCATGTTTATATACATTGATTTATATGGTTAAATGAAAATGAACCTGGATTTCTTTAAGCATTTCATTTTAAAATACTTTTATGGGGTAAAAATTTCAACTTTTAATAAAACCTGTCTGAGAATCTCAAAGATCCTTGAAGCACATTCAGAGGTATAAAATGAAAATTGTTGTATGAGAAGAATTAATTTTCAAACTTCATTTTGAGACTTTTTGAATTAAATTATAAATTAAAGAGTTATCCTTCCTAGTTGAGGATCGGAGTACCTTAACATAAACTTTTTCTAATAAACTACTTTTTGTCAATATGAATGTTTAAAGATCCGGTTTTGCTGTCAACACTTGAATACAGTACGGGAAATGATAATAAGAAAGCGACAAACATTTCTGAATGCTCCGGGAATGCGAACACGCCAAAAGACACTATTCAAAATCATCAGGAAATTGGAACAAATACTAACAATAAAAACGAAAGTACTTATAATGCATACGAACAGAATCAGGTCCTTGGGGATAACTCTTTTGATTCTACGCATAGTTGTGTTCAGGAAGGAATTTCAGAATCACAAGAGAAAATGACAACAACCGAAAATTCAGAATATCCAGTCAAGAGCGTCAAAAGTCCCTCCAATGGTGAGGATGTCAAAGACGAGAACAGACTTATTATTGTCATAAGAGGAAAAAATAGCAAAGCATGTCCAATAAATTTGAAATCAAAGTACAATGCTAAAGAAGTCATTGAAATCCTCTACGAAAGTGAAGATTTTTATAAAGATTTAGAAGAAAATGATACGGCAAAAATGAAATTGAAGGAATATGTTGATCCAGGTAAATATATTCCAATAATTCAAATGAAGTTTTATAAATTAAGTCTGTTTTTTTTTTATTATTGAAATGAATTATTTTTTTTATATCCTGAAATAACTTTTTAATCAAACTTCTTTCTTCCAGACAAAATATCCAAGTCCGGTGTTCGGGAGAAAGTCCAAAGTCATAAGCATATGAATTCATCTGACGGTACGAAATTTAATTGGAGCAAAATTTGTTGTTACATGTATATACATGTATTCGATTCGAAGATGTAGAACATGGGTTTTGGAGAGGACTTATATAGGCCATGCATGATGTCCATTCAAATTATGTAATCTAGCTTAATAAAATATTGATTAAATTACCCATGAATGTTAAATTGAAAAAAAGGACCCCAACTTCTTGTGGTTAGATATGAGTGTTTTCAAACAAGATATCTGCTTATTAATTTTTATCTCAGAGCCTTGTCGAGGATTGATACATGTAAAAACACGTAACGAATTAAGTAACATTCTTACACAACCACAAACTTATAATAAAACATTTTGGATATAGTTTTGATTGATTGGTTATATGTTGATTAACCGGTCGCCACGTCCCATATTGGGCTTCAAACCAGCTACGAAAGGATTGACTCCTTACTTCCCGACTCTAGAGTAGGCTCTCTAACCACTGCGCCACGCGGGCGACTGGATATAGTTTTTATGTGAAGTTTCGAGTTTTTATGTAAGGTTTTGATGCAAAATTATTCCATATTTCTTTTGTATTTTAGAGTATCATTGTCTTAAATTGAAAATCATTCTTAAAAAACGCATTTGATTTAGCCTTACAATTCACGTGTCATTAAAAGTCATATGATGATATCCCCAAAATGAAAATCGGAAGTTCTTGTATTCAATGTCTTTCTCGCACATCTTTAACAGTTTTGATTCTGTTTTGTTTTGAGTTCACTTTAAAGTAGGGATATTGATCAGTAATACAGTAAGAAACGTTTATAATAAAGTTATAATGCTGAAAGAAAAATAAAATGCAGGGCAACAAATTATGCGATTTTTTACCACAATTAAGACCCAAAATAATGAAAACTGATTAGATTATGTCCGTCAAACGATCTACAGAGCTTATGTTTATGTTGTAGAATTCGACTCTGAATAAAATTTTTCTGATTCTGAGAATATAAGTTTTTATGCATTAAAATCAATGTTAAAATAACTCAACCGTGAAATATATGACGTCACATATAGAAAGTGAAAAAACACGTGCAAATTGACAACGACAAGTTTGTCAAGATATTTAGAGGATATCTATGTTATTAGATATTGGCTTTATCCAACGAGTTGTATATATTCGCGAGGCTTGCCGAGCAAATTTACATCATTTTAACTAGTTGGATAAAGCCAATATCAAATCACACAATTAAAGATGTTCCATTTATCTCATACGACTTTCATTTTTAACAGAACTTTGAGACTTTCCCTTTGTAACTACATAAATGATTTCTTATTCAAATCATTGACGTATTTAACTTCATGTCGTAGCAATGTCAATTTAAAAATGCCTCGAAAGAAAGATCATGTTCAAAATTAAGAATTTTTGCTATATGCGCCTTTGAAAACATTAAACGGGTACTTATTTACAGAAAATTTTTACGACAATATGTTTCTCAAATTCCATTGTGACTTTTTAATCACTCGAATAAAATATCCTCATCAAACGTCAAAAAATACCAATGGCATCTTATCCAGCAAATATTTTCTTTTCTTATTTTACTTAGGTAATTCAGTTTAATAAATTGATAATAAAAAAAAAAAGCTTTAAAGAGAATATCTACCAGATATAATATTTATATAGATAATTTTAAATATTGAAGTCCTGCTCGTCAAAAATGTGTCTTGCACATAACAAAATGGTATTGTACACATACAGAGTACTAATCAATAGGCAGATTAAAAAATAGTTCGGAGAAGGGTAAAAAGTAATATGAAATTATAACAATGAATATGTATTCATAGTTTAGTTAATATCAATATAAAGATGGCAAAAGCGTTTTTTGATTGATGGATGCTAAATTTAGACTATTATTTTTAGCATACGCGTTCGCACCGATACCCCTGCCCCTTCCCACCCAGTAGTGATAAGATAAAATTTTGGAGCAACCTTGGCATATACAAGTCAAGAAAAAGAATACAAAAAGAGGTTCAAAATTGATAGCAGCAACGTGTCGATATTTTAAGAAAAGAAACTTAAACAAAAGAACATGATAATTATAGCAGGTTGGGACTACCTATAATACATATTTAAAAAAGAATACACACATATATAAAATTAAAATACGTACAAAGGATTTGTGACATGTATATTTGTGCTTGATTATTGATATTATTACTTTCTTGATATATTTTCATGCATAGAATAACTCTATTGTATCAGTGTTGTTCCCCATTTTTATCTACATTATGAAATACAGGGTTCATCCAATTCTTTACATGCATGATATAAAAATCGTAAATTGCAGAGGTACATGTAAGCGGCAGTTTTAGAAAATTATACCATATCAATAGAAGCTGTAAAATATGAATTACCACTTCGTGGTACACAGTGATGTATCTTGGTGTCTGATGTCTGTTTGGAAGGATTAAGGGAACGAAGGATGTATGATCATGTGATTCAGTTGAATTACGTCAAAGTCTCTGATTAAATATGTACAAAACGAAATTGAAACCACAGTACTTGTATAATTTTTTGACTGTTTGCGTTCACCATCTAGTATAAAAATATCTGAAAACATTTAAAATTTCTTGCAAATATTATCAAATCACGGAATAGATTAATCCACTCTTCCGTTCCCTACACTGCGCGTCCAGCGCGCCGTTGACGTCATAGTGGATCTCTTAGTACAGTAAGATCATACATGGTAAAAACGGGTAGTATAAAATCATAAAAACGGGCAATTATCTGTACATAGTGGGGTATTTTGTGAATTTCAGAACGCAAAAAATATTTTTACATGGTTGTTGACGGAAATGTTCTGTGGGTTTGTATTATTTCGCTTATTTCAGAAATGGGTATGTCTTATTTCGCTTTTTGCAGAAATGTGTGACGTCATAGTTGGGTTTTCCTGTAGTCGAGAAATGTAAACATGACAAGTTTTTCTCATGATCATGTCTCGTTTAACTTTGCCCCATGCAAAATTGAGCTCAGCTTCACCAATCGATATTTTACAGTTAATCTATACAATGACGAACTTGAACTTCGACGTAAATTTTCAAATATTGAATGATAGGATTTTTTGCAAATTAATTTTTTTATTGTTTAAGTTGTCTTAAAAAGTTCGTAAATTTCCGTCTCTAGATGTGGTATTACAAAAGAATCTTGCTTTTTCGAATTTTTAACCCTATTCGTACTCTAAAATATTTTAAAAGACACGTATCCGCTGCCATATTTTTATCTATGCTGAAAAATTCAATTATCGACCGAGTAATGGACCCAGAAACACGGAGAATCAAAACTCCGCTCAGACACTATAGGGTATGGTATTTGTCACTCAATATCTCAGAAATAAGTCTAGAAACCTATTGATATGTCTGCTTTATAGTATGTGGGGCTTACTAAATAAGATATATACAAAATATGAAAAAAATTAAATGACAGGTATTTCGTCAGCTAAAGGTCCCTCCTCCACTTAAGTAAAATTTCATATTTTTTCTCTCCACAATCACGATAACAACAATTCCTAGCTTACCGATCACGGTAGCCCAGTGGATTGGCGTTCGGTGTTAGATAGGGAGGCCAGGGTACAATGTTGGTCCTATACACAATGCGATTTACCTTTGGCCAAATCAATCAATTTAATGAGCATTCACTCGTTAAAATTAAATACCTACACAAAGAAGAATTAAAACCAAGTATAATTTTACAATCTTAATATCAAACATTTATCTTTTTATTGCACACTTGTCTTAATTTTATGAAAATAAGACAAGTTTCAATTTAAAAAGAATTGAATTTAAAAGACTCTGAGTTTTGAGTATGATTTTTTTGTTTTTTTTTTTTTTTTTTTTTTTTTTTGCTTCATTAACATTTTTGGTACAAGTGTGTTGTCTGTTTGATTATAAAAAAAGTATATTTTTTGTCTATTTTTTACAGATTCAGCAGGTAATTGTTCGAGGTCCCCTCAGAAAGATACCAGCAAACGCAAAAGCAAAAGTTGTTTTGATGGCAATATATGTGGAAAAATTCACAAAATAATACTAGCTGATAATACCTATAGTGACAAAAAAGGTACGTAAATTATTAATTAATCTTTTATAAACATAATAAACTTTTCAAGCTTCATTTAAAGACTTTTTGAATGAAATTATAAATTAAAGAGTTGTCCTTCCTGGCTGAGAGTTGGAGTCCCTTAAATTGCTAAATTGTAGCTTACGATAAGTGTATGTTATGTTCGGAAAAATATATATTTGTGAAATTAAATAAAAATACAAGATGTTTTGTCCAAAAATTGGGAAAACCCGCCTGGGAAATAAAATCATTTTAGGAAGCTATCCCTATAGATGGTATAGTGTAATGGTAGAGGTAATGGCCCCATATGTTGTTATAAATCCTAATACACTTTTCTCATTTACAGGAGTTTTTAGTTCAAATGTTATATAATTTTTTGAAATTGTAGAAGTCAACGTTATTTTTGACGAACCATTTTGCAAAACTGCGTTTTCAACATTTTTGGAGTACTACTTGCATGGATTGAATGCAAAGTGGACTACAGATATCGAAAAAGAGAAAAATGTCAACCGTGAACCAGCTTTGCTTCTTTGCTTTAATTTTTCAAGACTAGACGATGATGTTTCTGCAGCAGTAGTAAAATGTAGCAATTTGGGTAAAAGTTCCATTATTTTTTTAAATAAAGAATTTCGCGGAGTGATTATTCTACTAAATACAGACATTAATGACACATTAAACATTCCCAGATAAATATACATTTATACACTAGACAAAATTGCTAACGCACCACTTCTTAATTCTTAATTGTGAATTGAACATTTGCCAGATCGTTACTTGTGTATATAATATGCCATTATTTCCAAAACGTTGGTATTGACAAATGTTTTGGTATCGTGAAAAGACCATTCACATACGCCCCGATTTATTTGCCAATATTAACAATATTGTAAATTGTAAATATATATAAAATTGTTGCAATTCCCAAATTGACGTCAACCACACGTGTCCTATAAAGTACACCACTGCGCTCTCGCCCATACAACTACGTCTACGTCCCACCAAATCCCGTGGTACTCAAATGGTAGTTTTTAAACCGCAGAGCCCCGGGTCTTAGCCTCCCATTATCCTCATACCTCCTAGTAATCATCCGGTGACCTAATTAGTTTCCAGATAAATTGTTTGGATAATTTTTCAACTTATTGTTTGCTGCTAACTTAACGACTGGACTATCTATCATTTGTCTATTGCAAAATGTTTCTGTTGTTTAATATGTTTGCAACAATTTTTCATGAGTGGAATTTATAAGTTTTTGTTTTCAGTTTTTGACATATTTCTCTAAAGAAACCCCCTTAAGACGCCAAACTGTCTACTTAAGTACGCTCCTCTGGCATCAAACGTCAAAAATGCATAAAGAATGAGGCGCTTTTGATTGGCATTCGGCAGGAATCTTGGGGTAATTAAAAAGTGAAAAAAAAATTATTGACATGTCACATGAAATTTTAACATTTTCTTAATTTATCGGGTTCCTGTGCAACAGAAAAGGAAAATATTTTCCCGAAATTGAGCTTTGATTTGCTAAAAAAAATAACTTGAAAATTGTCCATATCAGACATTTGGTACAAAATGGTACATTTTTAAATACGTTTTTCAAAAATGTTTCTATCTCTGGGTCTTCTCTCCATGATTTTGAAAGGTTATATGTGTGTAATTTAATTCAAAGAAAGGAATACACATTTTTAAAAAATGGAGAGAAGATCCAGAGACCAGGAAAAATAAACTTTTTTCCAAAAATGAAAAAAAGTGAATATGGTGCTTCTTTGTCATTTCTAAAATCATCTGTATATTTGTAGCGGTGATATTATATATAATTCTTTATTCAATAACTTTAAGCCATATGGCTCATCAGTTTATATAAACAAAAATACATAATGACGAGAGGTGAGAGTCTGCGGGGGTGGAACCCCTAGTGTCCATCTGCCTGACTCCCATACTGATATACACCAACAGATATACTATATATTTCCAATTCTCTATTATTACATGAAAAATTTCTATAGCATATGATACATCTATACATATGAATTATATTATTCACTGTTTCTTGTAACAGATATACAATATATTTCCAATTTTCCATTATTACTTGAAAAATTACTATTGTAATAGTATATCATAATATCTAAAAGAATATAATACATGACTGTATACATATGAATTATATTATTCATTATTTCTTAATTTTATGGCATGGCATGAGAGCTGAGTAACTGAGTAAGCTTGTACATATTTGGAGATCTGAAATAATATGGTTTGATATATTTTTTCCTTAAAGTTTCATAATTAGGACATTCAAGTAAAAAATGATATTCATCTTCTATACAGTGATTACTACAAAATTGACATAACCTATTCCTTTATCAATTTTCTGATATCTTCCTGCTTCTATACTTAAGTTATGTGAACAAAGCCTTATTCTTGTAATATTTTTCTTCAATATAGAATAAATAGGTTTTGTCAAATATGTATGAATTTTTGAAAATTGTCACACACAATGTGTTTGTGCAAAAAACACTTTGTTGAATTTTCGAAAAAAAAGCATTACAATCTTGAAGGTAATTATCCAACAGTCTTTCCCTTTACAAAGATATAAACTGTGTTGTATTGATAAAATCTTGGTTAAACCAAAAATTTCCAAGTCCCATTCTAAACAATTCATCTTTAACATCCCTTGCCCAATTAATTTTAGAATGTAATTTATTTTCTGCATTGTGCAATAGATATTCATAGGAAGATTTCAATACACAAGTATTTGTAGGAAGTAATTTACACCAGTATTTCATAATTCTGATTTTTCTTGATATAATTAGAGGATATCGACCCAGTTCACGATAAACCATGTAACTACATGTAGATTTTTTAACTCCTAGCAAATTTTTACAAAACATAAGATGGATGCGCTCTATTTCAGGTGATTTGTGGAAACCCCAAATTTCACAACCATAATTCAAAACACTTAATATATAAGTATCAAACAATTGACAATGTGTTTTTGCATTAAATTCAAACATTTGAATATTTCGATTTAGTCCAAAAAGTGCCTTTCGTCCCTGGTCTGCCAGCTTTTTCTGTGTGGAGGAAAATTTACCATTATAAAACAATGTAAGGCCTAGATAGTTGAAAGAATCGACGCACTCGAGGATTTCACCATTGTAAGTCCATGACGAATTTACTGTTCCACTGTTTCGAAATACCATTATCTTCGTTTTTGATGCATTTACGGTCAGGTCCCATGTAGAAACATAACGATACAGAGAATCGAGCATTATTTGCAACTCCTTGGGTGAATTGGCAAATATAACCGTTTCATCAGCAAACATTAAAATGAATAAATTAAGCTCTCGCAATTCCACTGATGGAGAATTTTCACTTATAAAATGATTTTCAAGGTCGGTCACATACATGTTAAATAAGATTGGTGATAGAACTTCTCCTTGCATTAAGCCATTTTTAACACTAAATATATCCGATACTTGGCCGGCATGTTTCACACAGGCTTTAACATCAGAATATAATGATTGGATGATCCTAATGAGTTTTCCAGTAATCCCTAATTTGATGAGCTTGTACCATAATTTATCCCAATTAATGGTTTCGAAAGGTTTTTTTGTAATCAATGAAGCAACAGTAAAGACGTTGTTTTTATTTAATTTCTGAGCGATCAAACTTTGAAGGGAAAATATGGCATCTACAGTAGAGCGTCCAGCTTGAAAACCGAATTGTGCATCTGTAATAATTGACTACTCAGAGTTCCAGGAAGCGTTCCTTTCATTTAAAATAGATGTAAACAATTTTCCAAGGTTGCTAGTAATAGTTATGCCTCTGTAGTTCCCTGGATCAGATATACTGCCTTTTTATGGATAGATATTATAACTGCTTGTGACCACAATTTTGGAAATGTGCCCAAATCAAAAACTTTATTGAAGAGGGTAACGATTCCAGGTATTAGAATTTCTCTAAACGACAGAATATATTCGTTGATCAGTAAATCACTTCCACAACTTTTATTCAACTTTTTTGTACATTCTTCCACTTCTTTTTCTGTTATGATAGAATCCAAAGAATCAAAAATAGGCTCATGATTTTCAAAATAGGTTCCAATAGAGATGTAACTTGCATGTGTGCCATTAGATAGAGATCGGAAATGATCAAAGAAATCCGAAAGTGAAATTTTCGATTCAGGATGTGACCGCTTGCGCAAATGCTTGTAAAATTGGCCTGGATTATTCTTCTTTAAAGCTTGGACCATATCCCCTTTTGAAGTTCGGTACTGACGCTTTAATTTTTTTTTCCAAATTTTTGTATTCATGTTTTAGTTTGACAAGTTTATTGTAATTAGCACTAGAATGAAAAGAATGATACTGGTTAAGTGCCTCCATATATTTACTGTACAAAATCTTACATCTAGGGTTGAACCAAGGTTTGTCTGGGTCTTTCTGGTAGTAGAAACTGACACATCCTTCTTACAATATTTGCCAAAAACAGTATCAAGACAGTGACTATAATTTAGAATGCACGCATCTATGTCGTCGTTTTCTATGCATAAATAAAGTTCGTCAAGCTTATTCATTAAATCGGCTCTCATATTTTCTCGGAAATGTTCTTTCCATCGAATTGAACATGCTGAATGATTATTATCAGAATGAGATATATTATCTGTTGGCGATGCTGTTGTAACAAGACCATTCAACTGTATGGAAATATCAATTGGCGTGTGATCCGAAAATTCATTCAGGTCACATACAATAAATTCCGGTATAAGACTGAGCAAATTTGTTAAAACTAGGTCAACGGCGGATCGTCCCTGTGGCCCAACATATGTAAATCTTCCCTCGGAATCTGATTGGTGTCGACCATTTATAATGCGGATATTAGAAGCTCTACAAATCTCTATCAATCGTCTTCCAAAGGTATTAACTTTTGTATCCATTGAATTTCTAGGACCTAGATCCGAGTCTGGAGTGTAAGTAATCACATCTGATAAGTTTCTGTTTATTTCATTGCTAAGAGAGTCACTTTCAATATAGTCTAATAATTTTCCCGTTCTGTCATTGAAATCACCTGAGATAATTACATTACCCAAGTTGCAGTATTTCACAATATTATTATTTAATGTGGTGAAAACAGTCGTGAAATTTTGATTCATATGGAGGGATATAAACTGCTCCTAAATAGATTTCTTTATTATCTACGAAAAGAGACCCATTTAGACGTATCCATATAATAGTGTCATATAAAACTTCTAAAGGTGTAGCATAATTGTTTAGACAATTCTTGATAAGGATAACGATTCCTTCACTTTGTTTACGATTACTGATGTGCTTACTTCTTGGGTATTTGTATACGTTAAATCCTTCGACAGAAATATTTGAATATTCGGTTATCCAACATTCAAGAAGAATGACAATATCGTAAGCTAATAAATGAGAACGAAATACTTCATCTTCTAGTTTGTTTTCAAGTCCGCCGTTCACATTCCATGTACGAATATGGATAACACCCTCCTGCACACCCTAGCCCTCGTCTACATGAGATGGGGAGTCAGACTCACAGGAAATCCTTTTCCCATCGATAATTAATTTGTCTTTTACAAACACAGCTTTTTTGTTGTTGTCCTTAGCTTCCTTATATTTAGGTAGTAAGAGCTTGCGTCCCTCGCGATTTTCCTTTGGGAGCTGTTCTGCAATGCTAAATTGTGTAGATTTAAGTTTATATGCGACTTTTTTTTAACTCTGTCTCTGTAGGAGAAATATCTTAATTTCACAACAATAGGACGACAAGTGTCTCTGGATTTTCCGACACGATAAGCGTTCTCAACCATTTCATCAGAGAGAGAGTAACATTGACTTTTTCGTCACAGAATGTCTTGATAATTTCTTTGCAACTTTCACCCTCAGACTCGTCTATGTTGAAAAATAGTAAGTTCTCACGCATTGAGTGACATTTAACAAGAAGTATTTCATCTTTTAAGTTTTCATTGTCACGCGCTAACTTTTTATTTTCAGTTTTGAGTTTGTCAAGTTCATTTCTAAGCTGAGCAATATCATTTGAGTTAGATTTTGCACTGGTTTTGATCTTTGTTATGGATTTTTCTATAGACTTGGCATCTGGGATATTCTCCTCAATTACTTTAGTTTTATTCTCCAAAATATTGACAAGACTAGACAGATTTGAAACTAACTATTTGTTTCAACGAGCTCCTAGTATCAAAAACAGCATGCTCAATCTGATCAAGTTTTTGCATTCTAAATTTAATATCGGACACTTGCGTGACTAGTAACTGTGCCCAGGGTGGAGTTGTACTCATAACATGATAATCAATGGGGGGCGACTGTGGGAATCCTCCAATATGAAAACCAGGGGATGGTTGATCGAGTCGTGGACGGAACCGGTCTCTGTGTATGTATTGACCTTGACGCACTAACAGATTGTTGTGTATTTTGTGATTGATTAATACTCTCTGTATTCTGGTATTTAATATGTTCTGCTTCGGAATCATCATCCATCGAGTTGCTTGAAGTATTTATATCAGCTCGTGCTTGTTGAACAGATTGTTTTTGTTGTACATTGTTATTGATATTTCTACTAATCATGGTGGCTGCCATATTGTCCGTGCTCATACCTTTACTGACCTGATTAGATGAACTTCGAAAACGACGCTTCTTTGTGGGTTGTTTCGCTTCTAAAACTTCACATATAGTTTGACCATTTGAACTCATACCTTGTTGGATAAAGTCAGAAATTTTAGCTCTTTCTGCCAATTTTTAATATATTCGATCAGTGCTTACTATTAGTTCAAGATTTATTACTGTAGTCAGCGGCGACTCACACAAATTGTTCCGACGAAAATAGTTCCATCATTGATAAGTGGATACAACATAATTGTTCATGATATGAATAATGTTGTTTCTTATATAATTGAATAATTTCCATCTCTCTGATTGGCTGAGATCCAACTATGTTAGAAAAATATTACGTTGTATTGACCTGCACGTGACGTTCCAGGTAAATACAAGGATTTATTTCCTCTACATTGATCTAAAAATAGATTAGGGAATTCCAAAATTGATACAAATTGTTTTAGAACGCTATTTTAACAACTATGATTTTTATTTTCATGTGAACAAAACATAAGCGAATATATATATTAGGTGAGGGTGGTAACACTTTTACTGAACAACAATTTTTTTTTCTTTTTGGCGGTCAGTTTTCCCTGATAATACTCCTTCCTTTCAAAATCTATCCTATAAAAAGACTGACATTATGTATTTCTTTCATGGCTACTAAAATTGATTTTTTAAAAAAAATTCAAATTGATACAACTGGTAAGGTTTATTAACATTTTAATTCGGCTACTCTCTTGTATTTGGCTAGGACTTATAAAAATTCAAACAAGTAATGAGCTGTATCATTTTATCAGTGAATCATATAATAAAACAATTTTTGCTGTTTTTTCCGGTCAATACAATGATTTAGCCATCTTCGAAGTACAATATTCACCTCGCCCTTCGGGCTCGGTGAATATTGTACTCCTCAGATGGCTAAATCATTATATTGACCTCAAAAACCAGCAATAATTGTATAGTATGTCATACGTACAAGAAACCAAAATTAATGTAATTTTTTTCTCCAAGGATCACTTCCTCCCCTAACCGCAAATAAAAAATCTTAATATTCCTACGCTCGCTCCCTCCTCAGCTTTTTTTTACATGTTTGATAACAGAGAATATCTAGGTCATTCTTCGATTGAAATTTTTTCACCAATGAGTTGATTATACTATATCAACAATTGTAGTATAATCATGTTAATTGTTCGTTTATCATCATATAGTTTCCTCTTAGAGAAAAAATTAATCATTCTGTGTGTGTTATATTAGATGACGGAATTTTCGATCCCTGAGCAGATTCCTGCACATGTCTAGACAAACTGTAGGGAGAGTACCTATAACATATGTAACAAAACCCGAACTGGACCGGAGATTTCTAAACTGACAATCGGGATTCGGGGGATTGTATAATTTTTATTAATCAGAATTTGTATTCATATGATCTAAATAAGAAAAAAAGTTTTGTCTGGCATTGTAACTTCTCAGCAAAACAAAATGTGTTTCTCCGAGCTCGCTAGATGCGTTTGCCAACTCCATCGCACGTGTGTAGACCAAAGCTAACTGGTCTTGCGGACACAGGTATGTGTACTGTTTGTTAAGAGACTGGGTGACCGTAATGCTGCAGACTAGCGAAATTTACACAAGTTCAATAACTAGACAGTGCAGTTTTTTTTAAATAAAAATTATTAAACACTGTTAAACATATTAAATCTAAAAGTCGAATATCTTTGGATATGGGGTAACCCATATCTATTCTTGTTAGTACGGAAATCGTCTCTCTAGCAAAAGGCATGTCCTCTCACCACGCGATCACGTGACAGTTAGCTCAGCAAGTAGGGCTACCTGTTCAGTGCGATCAAAGCGAAAAGTTTTGGGTTCGAGCCTGGCATTGGGCGTTAATTTTTTTTCATGCAAACAACCATTTATTTTGTCAGTTTCGTTTTATGTACTGATGTATTAAAATTTTGAATTGGATAAATTTTGGTTCAGTTTGGTTCTCGAGCGAAATCAATTTCAATCTTCTATTCTACAATGTACATGTACACTATCATGCATCTATGGATTAAATATTTTAGGTGTTTATTTTTTGTGAAACATTACTATGTTATAGTACCTCCAAGGAAAAACGGACATAAATGTTACAATCTCACAAGGTCTTTCAAACTAAATGAAAAAAACCCTATGGAAGTGTTTGTTAAATCTGACCAACTATGTTCATCCAACTAAATCTTGAACATTTAATCCATAAATGTTTCGTCCAAATAATTCCTGCAGATCACACGCCAAATGTAATATACATAAATATGAAAAAAATGATTTTTTTTCTATGAAAATGGAATAGAAACGATTTTAATTTTGTCTACGAATTGTTCACACATGATCATCAGTAAACATCGTAGTTATTTATTAGGTTTGACATCAAAATGCCTTATTTTTCTTATTAAAGTAACATATCTATATATCAATTTTATCAGAAATAGGTTTTTAAAGTAAAATATTAATTCTTTTAAGTGGTGCGTTAGCAATATTTTTTCTAGTTTATACATGTTAAATGTTATCTACTATTAAGCTTCCCAATATCCAGAGGGAAGGGGTGATTTAAACAACCTACAATTTGCACTACCTGAAAACGATTGCATATTTAAACATATATAAAATTGATTCCTACAACAAACCAATTTACTCTATCTACTCAAACTACTATCTTATAAATTTTCAAATTCATATCCAAGTCTTTTCATGTAGTGTAGATTAGATTTCGTTTTGACGAAGCCCATTATGCATATTCCTCGTTTCAAACTGTCATTTTTGCCCCTGGTATACTTATCAAACTAGACAGTTAATCCTTGAAACAATCCTCGATCAATTTATAACTTTAGAAATTTATTTCATAATTCCTTGTTGTTTCTTCAAAGGAAATGATTTCAATTATATATTTTACAATATTTCTTTGAATTTTAAGTAGGTACTATATCTTGTAAAAATAATTCATGTTCCCTAGTTCTCCTGCCGAACGACTGAGCTTTATTTTGTTAAGCAGGCAGAAATAAATAACATCAGGTAGAAGTGAATAAGAATTAAAGTAAATGACGAGAGAAGTGAAACACCGTTAACAAAATGCGGGGCAGAAAAGGGGGACTGAAATATAGAGTATTACACATCTTAGGCAAAATATTGCACACTCTCAACCAAGCACCATGATGAATCGTAACATGATGTACATAGGAAAAAAGAAGGAAGTGGTGTAAGATAAAATTTAAAAGTACTCTTTTTCCTAAATCTTTTTTCTAATGTGAGTGGCAGAAGATACCCCTCCCCTTGCAATCTTTATGAGATCTTAATTTGACTCAACTCAGATTTAAAAAGTTAACGCCTTTAAATTTGATTAACGAAAATTTTGTTTGCGGCTTAATTTCTTTAATTCAGAGGTAGAATGTGAACAAAATCCAAGGTATCTTAGAGATCTACCTTGTTAAATCAATTCACCATGTAAAGCGACAGTTATATGTGTCTTGTAATTTATAATATACAGTGTTTGTGTGTGGAAGAGGGGATGAATGGCTAAATTATTTTGTTAGTGAATTCTTTCTTAAGTTTCTTATGGATAAATGTATTTCACCATTATTTTCACATGGTTTTTAATTGTTTTCCCTTTTGAAGATGCACCAGTGATGCTTGTTATCATCCAACCTTGTGAATACGAGCAGGAAATGAGGAACCTTTCGACCACCACTCCTGGAAAGCCCATAGTAGCTCTTACTAACATCCTGTACAGCAATGCTTCGTCACAGTGCTTCGAATGTGATTTCAACAAGAAAGCCGAAAAAGATATTCTCACGTTCCTCAGCGGTTATAAGAAATGAAAGTGATTATAGATATAAAAAGAAGTATCCATTGCACTGAATGAATTTCTTGTTTCTAACGAAAATTACGAGGTTAGCTTTTTATATAAATAAATTACAAAAAAAATATCAAAACAATGCGTATTCTTTAATCCAATTTCCATCAGATTTATCTGGCCAGAAAATTCTTCAGAAAAACTAACCAAACATCTACGAAGAACTTATGAATTCTTTTTTTTTTTTTTTTTTTTTTTTGTCGCCCGCTTTCGTGAAATTTAATCTCATTTATCTGCCAATCCACAACAATTACTTGAACCTTGGTCATAACTTTTAATTGAAAGGCGTTGGGGCTATTTTATGACACATGTACATTAGCTGTGGGAATGATTTTTCAAAAAAAAAATCACCCCAGGACGTTGACAATGAAGTTTAGCTTACTTTTCAAAGATATTATCTTTCCTTATTAATAACTTTTGCTTGAGAAGAGATCTGGCTTTTATACTTGACATATACATATGTACATTACCTCTGAAGAAATGTTTCCGAGCATGCTTTAATTTTTACGCCCTTTACATTGACCATTATTTCTGATTTAATTTTCAAATATTTCAACGTTGGTTAATATTTTGAATGACATAATTGGGTGTTTATTTTTACATTAAAACATTGCTGTGATGTCATTTCTTTGTTCTTGCAGTCTGAAATTGTACCTGTGTTGACCGATAATCGTGATATCAGACTTTTTCAGTACTGATATCTTGCAAAATTAAACTGCTACTGATCAGAAGAAAAATTGTGATTAATAAACAAACATAACTTTAAATTTCTCACATACAGTGATGATTTTGAAACGATGATCTTACAGAATTGCAAAATTAAAAGTATAATAAACTTTCAATTACAAAAAATATACAAACAAAGCGGTATATTTCTAATTAACTTATTAAACTTGAAGAAATGTTTCAACCCCTCTGGCTTTTGAAAGAGAGTAGGCGCACTGGGGTTCATGAGAGAAGCACAAAATTATATATTTTAAAAATACCAGACACTATGAAGACCAGCATTCAAAAAAATTTTCCTCATGTATAGAAAGAAAAATGACTTTTGCAAAATCAAGGCAGCTAGGCCAAGTTCATGATAATTAATACTAAATATTGAAAAAATTTAAAGAATTTCAAGGTTTCCCTTAAAACACCTGAATTATTGATTTTCTTTGTTTTCCTGTAATGGAGCACCAAAAAAACAAAGGTTCATGTAGACGTTTAACATTAAAAAACATGAAATGGACTAATGTACCTACAGCATCTGGTGAATTTTCTGTGATTATTCTTCTGTATTTTCAATTCCATTCCAAATTCATCATTCACTAGATTGTATGATAATTCAATGCACCGCTTTAATCCCAGTGTATGTACACATTTTTAATGAAGAAAAAGTCTGTCCCTACTCTCCTTATCAAATTATTTTAAATACCTTAAACAGTGTAGCCGAATCCCTACATACTGAGTACTTTTCATTTAATCTTGCATTATTGAAAGAATTGCTTCAGTGGTCATTAAAACCTTTGTCTTTTTAGCTCACCTGAGCCAAAGGCTCAAGTGAGCTCTTCTGTTCAAAATTTGTCCGTTGTCTGTCGTCGTTGTCGTTGTCGTCGTCGTTGTTGTTGTAAACTTTTCACATTTTCATCTTCTTCTCAAGAACAACTGGGCCAATTTCAACCAAACTTGCTACAAAGTATCCTTGGGTAAAGGGGATTCAAATTTGTTCAAATGAAGGGCCAGGCCCTCTTCCAAGGGGAGATAATAATGAATTAGAGAAAAATTAATGGCATTTTTAAAAAATCTTCTTCTCAAGAACCACTGGGCCAGGAAAGATGAAACTCATGTGGAATCATTCTCTGGTATTGTAGATTCAATTTTGTTCAAATCATGACCCCCGAGGGAAGGGTGGGGCCAAAATGTCTGATCAAAGTTTTATATAGGAATATACAAGAAAAATGTTTAAAAATCTTCTTCTCAAGAACCACTTAGCCAGGAAAGATGAAACTCATGTGGAATCATCCTCAGGTAGTGTAGATTCAAGTTTGTTCAAATCATGACCCCCGGGGGAAGGGTGGGGCTAAAATGGCCGATCAAAGTTTTACATAGGAATATATATGAAAAATCTTTAATAAAAATCTTCTTCTCAAGAACCACTTAGCCAGGAAAGATGAAACTCATGTGGAATCATCCTCAGGTAGTGAGGTTCAAGTTTGTTCAAATCATGACCCCGGGGATAGGGTGGGGCCAAAATGGCTGATCAAAGTTTTACATAGGAACATATAGGGAAAATCTTTAAAAATTTTCTTTTCAAGAACCACTGGGCCAGGAAAGATGAAACTCGTGTGGAATTGTCCTCAGGTAGAGTAGAATCAAATTTGTTCAAATCATGACCCCCGGGGGTAGGGTGGGGCCAAAATGGCTGATCAAAGTTTTACAAAAAGATATATAGGACAATTTTTTTAAAAATCTTCTCCTCAAGAACCACTGGGCCAGGAAGGATGAAACTCATGTGGAATCATCCTCAGGTAGTGAAGATTCAAGTTTGTTCAAATCATGACCCCCGGGGAAAGGGGGGGCCAAATGGCCGATCAAAGTTTTACATAGGAATATATAGGGAAACCTTTTAAAATCTTCTTTTCAAGTAATTCAAAGCCATGCTTAGTGATATTTATAGGGAATCAACCTCAGGTTGTGTAGATTCTAGTTTGTTCAAATCATGATCCCCAGGGGGCTAAAATTCAAGCCCCCTACCAACCCCACCTCAGTAAGCTTTCAGTTCTGATTTGATATGTGCTTTTTCCCTAGCCAATTGCTCAGGTGAGCGATCTGGCCCCTGGGCCTCTTGTTGTTTTTATATCAGACTGTCTCAGGTAAATCAAAAAGCAATGTTTTAAGTACGATATATACCTCATACAATTCTGTATTAAAAAAATATCAGTTTTCGGCATTAACGGGCCTCAAACTGTCTAAGATTTTTTAATACAGAACTGTATTCGGCATATATCCAATATTCATATGTCATGAATAATGGCACCCCTTCCCCTTAGACACCGAAAGCAGGAGGAATGCATTTCTTTGAATCCTCTTCTTTTACATCAATTATTTAAGGACGGATGATACAAACCATATTTTTCTTTGAAATAGATTTAATATCATGTCACAAGTTCAGAAAAGTAGATGGTTCTTGGAATTTTTTCTCCGAAGTACTGGAAAATGAAATAGACTTGGAAAATTTCAATTAAAAAAAAAATATAGACAAATCACATTCAGTTAAGGTTTTCAGGTGAAAACAAATTTCGAATATGTTACCTTGGTGCTTAAAGTGTAATATAAACTTTAGAAAAATATATCAAGCCAGGTGAATTTTAAGAGAACAATATGCAAAAAATTAGCAATATCACATACTAGGCTATTTTTTTAAATTTTACTTTTCCTAAAAAAATTCACCTGGCTTGGTATATTTTTCTTAAGTTTATATTACACTTTACGATAGAACAGCTTTTGGAACAGCTTAATCCAAACTTCCCGCTAGCGTTTGTTTGTTCACAAACCAAAATCCGCAAATGAAAATAGCGCACACTAAAACAGATAACAATAATTAAAGTTTTCTTCATTTTTCAATCTAAAATTATTAACTTTATTTTTGCGACAAAGAAATATAAAGAAATAGTATAAAAGACATAATTTTTTTGCTTTTTTTAAACTGTAATGGCGTAGTCCATGTATTCATATGCCAGACAGACTTGGGAAATAATCGGGGGGGGGGGTAATGCAGAGTTAAGTGTCACCTTTTCGGAAAATAAGGTAGAGTATAATATGTTCTCTATAAAATATGACAGTAGCAATAAAAACGATAGACAGAAGAAAGAATGCAAAAACATTGTTACATTACATCCAATTTTGATCTTGATAGCAAAAACAAATATGACTTACATGCACGACTTTAACTAATATTGAAATAATAATTATAAGATTATATATTTGATTTTAACTGATATAAAAATACGCATACAATGTTGCTCACGGCCAATTTTTTATCACAGGTAGGATAAGTAATGATGTCTCCCTTCTAAACAGTCCATTATTTTAAAGCAACATCTTTCACAAAGTAAAATACAATTATATCTTATCTTATATTTGTCCCTGGAGTAAGGCAGCTAAACCTACCCCAAACAACATTTAAAGGGTTTTCATTTCGTTCCTTTGTTGTACATCGAATTTGATCACAAATTAAGAAAATGTTAAAAATATAGCTATTATTTTTTTACTCCTGTCAAAAATATTACAAAAAATAGAATATAACAAATCAGATGTTTTACTTTTTAGAAAAAAATACATATGCTTTTGTTCGTGATCCCTTGAATTTTATGATGTTTCCTTAAATTAAACGTGGAGTCTTTTATCCCATTTTCAACCAGGCGTGAAGCCCTTAGCTGATTGAAATGACACCACACATCTATTTTTGTGCAGAAATTGATCTTTGACTTTAAAAAGACTATGTTTCTTATACAACATGCAAACTACATTTTTAAAGGTGAGAATAATATTGAAAGGAGACTCTAAAATCATTAAGCAAAAAATCTGGGCTGTTTTTATACAGAGTTAATTCACCTTTTCAGAAAATAAGGTAGAGTATTATATGCTTTCAATAAAATATGACAATAGCAATAAAAACGTTAGACAGAAGACGGAAGAATACCAAAACATGGTTCCATTACATCCAAGTTTGATCTTGATAGCAAAAACAGATATGATTTACATGTATATGTTTGACTTAAAACGGACATTAAAATGATATAAGATTATATATATATTTTTTTAACTGATAAAAAATGATATTATATACATATGGTTTTAAGTGATATGTACTTCTAATATAAAATTAAGTCTACAATGTATATCTTATGATATTGTAGGCTAACCTACAAATTTTATCAAACAGAACAGAGCTGTTACATTGTCGTGCTTAAAAATATGTGCATATATTTCTGTTCAGTCGTTTATTTTTTTTTTTTTTGTACAATCGTCTTAAAAAATATTCATGATTTTCCCCCAAAACTTTCTTTTAGTCTTTTTCTTTCCTCTTTCCTTCAGCAGCCATTTTATCTACCTGTTCCTCTAAGTAGTCGTCTGCAAAATCTGCCGTCTGCTTCAACGCCTTCAGAATCAAGATGTCAATATTTGGATCCAGACTTGTTTCATTCTCGTAGTTTTTGATTGGCAGGATATGGCCACGCGGTAGTCCCATGACGTCAGCAACCTTGTTGACTGTGTCACGGACAGCTGGACTGTAAAACATATTCGACGCATCCTCATCGACCTTTGGACAAACTTTGTCCAGTTTGGTCAAATACACAACCTGGGGAATATCTGTTTATGGAACAAATAAACAGGTCAATTGTAAATTAAATAGACTGTGCAAAGAACTCAACATGAAAACATCCTCCAAGAAGATATAATTTTACTAACAAGAAATATGTGTTGACTTTTCTGATTCGTTTTATATCAATATAATTAGAAATCATTCATTAATTTAAAATCAATTTTAAGTTCACCCACTCCTCTGATTCATCCTGCCCTGTAGTTCCTTTAGTTGTTTTAGAATTTTTTGGGGCATGACGTCAATAGTACTTCCGTCCACTACAAACGCCACACAGTGAATTTTGTCTCCAAGTCTTGGGTTCCGAATGAATCCAAAGGTTTCCGTAGTAAAGGGTGACGATGGATTAAACTAAAAACAAATCACCTTAGGTAATCTTCCAAGTTTCGTATATTTTATATCAGCAGTCTCGTTTAAAGTCAACATTTCGTAAGTTTTATGGTCGATACAATGTCAGCAAATACAATTTATCATTGAGTCAAATGCTGACTGACCTTTTTTCATACCAATTGTTAGACCATTTTTTATACATTTAATTGACGACGGATTATTCCGTTATTACACGATCATGACAATGAGCACAAGGCGGGTGTGACCGGTCAGCAGGGGATGCTCACTCCTCCATGGCACCCGATCGCATCTCTGAGTTTCGGAGGTCCGTGTTTGCTCTGCTCTAATTTTGTATTGTTTTATGGACTTTGAGATTAAATACTGTTCGTTATCTGCATATCCTTCTTCATAAAATAATTTCTTGCATATGTTTCGTAAAGTGACAGGTTACAAACCCTAAATATCAAACTTCGGTCAACATTTATGTCGATGAAATATGTATTCATTATAAGTTTTACCTTAATATTTTCATTGGTTTTACTTTGTAGATGTTTACATATTTCTGTAAGCAGTACAGGAATGCTGTAGTATGTCATCTTAATGTTAAAATTTAATGAAATGTATGTATTACATTAAAAAGTACTGAAAACCCCGCGTTTATACAGAAACAAACTACAATGGATCTCGGGTTTTTCTTTAATCTTATAAACTAACCTAAAAGCACGTAATGATTACACTTGTTTACATTTCACAGGAGAACATATAAGTTTACGTAGTCTATCTAGCGACCTTTGCAGAGCTTAACTATTTTATTGACAATGTTCATGGACAGGAAAATTAGAGGTAAAATATACGTAATGTTCAAAACTATATATTTGAAGAGTTTATAGGTATTTACCTGAATCGCAATAACTTAAATTACTGTAACAGTTATATGAAAAATGAAACAATTTTTTTAATAATGGGAAAACATAAGATTTTTTTTAGGGGAAATGGATCCTTAAAGTGCCTGACGCTCTTTGCATCAGGCAACTAAGATAACTTCTAGCCTCGATATTTTCTTCATATTTAAGGTATAAACGTCTTTTTTTTTTTTGGTTTCACGTCTATCGATTAACCTGTAATTTTGTAGAAATGAAGTATTTTTAGTATTTGTAATTTTATCTCGAGCAAATTAAAGATACTGGAAATGTAAATATTACAGAAAAATCAGAAACATTAAATATCCCGCGATTCTTCGATAAAAAAACTTTTTAATTGCAATCTTCTCTTCTAAGATATGTTTCATGAATACAAAAATAGGTCTCCTAAAGTAATATTTTTTTATCATACCTGGTACCTGTCCGGTACGTTACCGTCCAGTATATAAGCTGTCTCCTGAGCGTGTATTGGTATCTATTTATATTTGTATCATACCTGGTACCTGTCCGGTACGTTGCCGTCCAGTATCTAAGCTAACTTCTGAGCGTCTATCGGTATCTTTTTTATATTTCTTTCATACCCGGTACCTGTCCAGTACGTTACGGTCCAGTTTATAAGCTATCTCTTGAGCGTCCTTTGGTATCTTTTTATATTTGTATCATACCTGGTACCTGTCCGGCACGTTACCGTCCAGTATATAAGCTATCTCTTATGGTATCTTTTTTTTATATTTGTATCATACCTGGTACCCGTCCGGTACGTTACCGTCCAGTATATAAGCCATCTCCTGAGCGTCTATTGGTATCTTTTTATATTTGTATCATACCTGGTACCTGTCCGGTACGTTGCCGTCCAGTATATAAGCTATCTCCTGAGCGTCTATTGGTATCTTTTTTTATATTTGTATCGTACCTGGTACCTGTCCGGTCTGTTACCGTCCAGTATATAAGCTATCTCCTGAGCGTCTATTTGTATCTTTTTAGACGGTGGCTATATATAACCACAGGCTATTGCTGCTAGTCCGGGCTTATATATAAACAACATGTAAACACACGGGGATCCTAGCGGAGATTTTTGCAGAGTCGAAATAATGGAAGTAGACTTGTTTCGATGATTGAAATGTAAATAGTTAATAAATACTTTTAAGTTATTTCCAAGACATTTCGTTGATGGACACAGAGCCTTTTTTCTGATATTTGCCGTAATCAATATTTCTCGCCTCATGAATATTCATTGAATTACGGCGAACTACAACTAACTCGTACACCAACCGACTCGCATATTCCTATGCAAACTACAGATGTCAATTTGTACATGATTGTTTCGTTTTCTTTTTTCTCTCTCATGCATGTGCGAAAAGTAATTTCGTTCACATTGTGTTAGTTTAGAATTATAATCATTGTCAGAATATTTGATGAAAAATATTTGTAGATAATTGTTTCACTTTCAAACTCCGAAATCAAATAATTAAAATTGCTAAACAACACAAGCGCGCTTGTTTCTTAAAGACTATTCTGTGAAATTAATATTCAATGAAATTTAAGTAGTTTATTGTAATTTTACTGAGTCTTTTGATTGTTTGAATAAATGTCTAATATCTGTTAACAATGCTATATAAGAAAAACGAATACATTTATTTTAAGAAAGAAGAAAAATAGAGACAGAAAAATATTTTGTTATTTTGTTTTCCTTTCTCTCTATTTCGAGGAGTATATACGAGGGTTGTCCTTTAAAAATCGTGGACAAAGTGTGTGTTTCTCGAAAAATAATGGGCTCCATAAGATGAAATTATTAGCAAGTATTCATTTATCATATTTTAGTGTATCTGAAGTCTTTTGATATAATATAGACAAAAATTAATTTTATATTTTAACATGCTTAAATGTAGAAACGCATGATAAAAACCCATTTGTTTTTAGTTATACACGTCGAGTATTATTTCGAAATAAAAATATCAAATAGATTTTTGGTTAACATTATCGCATTTTAATCACTGTCTGTTGCGTCGTCTATTGGAAAATTTCAGGGTATTTGCTTAATTTTGTCAGTTTACCAAGCATCCGAAATGGGAAAGTGGTAAACACAACACACGAAAAATGGCGACGTTCGATGACGTTTCTACGCACCGAAAAGCTGTTCAGTTTTCTTTCATTTTTAGTGTACAAAGGGAAATGGTAGGTTTTTTAACGAAATCTTTTTTTTTTAATCATATCCATGGGCATAACAAACAGCTATAGGAATAGTGAAAGACGCTGTCAATGTTGACAGCTAACTAATAAGGTATATTTAGTTGAATGATAGTGAAAATTATTGTCGATAACTTTAATACAGGTACAAATAAACCTTCACAAGGTTCCATTCGTGCGCGAAATTCAAGAATTAAGCTTAAGGGAAACTCAACTATGTACATCAGTGAAAATTCCTTAATTCAAGTGGGAGTTATCTAACTTGTCTTTACCAGGAAAGGATTCGTGAAGCTGCTTTAGACACTTTGGCATTATCATCTGTGTGCCATAAGGCGACACAATACATTATATAAAATCTTTTAATTTGTTTATATATGCATAGATCTATTTGATATTTGCTTTGTTGTTTTTTTATGAAAAATTAGATCTAACGTAGAGACAATTTTAGATCACTAGATCAAAGTGAGAATTCATAACACTTTCTTTTTTATTACAAAAATATAAATTTATAAATTGAAATACCTGTACATGTATGGTGAAAAAAATGAAATAAACTTTTATAATTTCTGTATCATTTTACATATTCTTACAATATTTTATCTCATTTAATGCAAGTCGCCATTGACGTTGCAGGTTTGCTCTGAAGTCACGGACCTGAAGAAGTCCATCCGTACGTCGCGGATTCGACTCCCACTGCGGGACATGGAGATCTGCACTTAATTCAGATTGATATCCTGTGTCGCAGTAATTGTTAGCCAGAAAAAAAAAACATCCCTCGTTGCTCAAAATTTATACTCGGAAGGATCGTTTAACAAATAAAATTATTCATGCCACCGTCTTTCAGTACTCACAGTACTTTGATTTTTATATTTATATCATACCTGGTACCTGTCCGGCACGTTACCGTCCAGTATATAAGCTATCTCCTGAGCATCCATTCTAAAATTCTCCTCCAGACCCCGGGTATCACACAAACGGATCTTCAGGTTATGTCCAGAGTTCTGGTCCTTGATGGTGTACTTTCGAAACTTAGAAAATGTGTACAATAGATGTTTTATTTTAATTCAGAAATTACAGGAATATGCCACTTATATAATAGAATTCCACTGAAAAATTATATCAAAATATTCTATTCAGTTCGCAGGATTTTAACCATTGCAAGCACTGCTATTACTTCACATGATCTTAAATTATAGAGTAGAGTATGTGCGTAATTGTTACTGCAGCACTACAATCCTACAATTATCCAATATTATTACAATGACATAAAAGATTTTTGCAATTTTCAAAGTCATCAAATACCATTCTGCTTCTTACCACTGTTGTAAGACTGTGTTCAAAACTCCCACTCCGAGCCTTACTGGTGATTTTTCCGCGGAAAATGGAATTGACAGAGTTGAAAAAGCTGGACTTTCCCGCACCAATTTGACCAATCAGAAGAATATTGACGGCAGACAAGTTAGCGTCACTCTCAGGCTCAAAATCAATAATCAATTTCTTCAGTTGTTGAACTGCCTAATATTTGCAAAATAAAAATCATCAATACAATGCATGTACGAGAGCTGAATACGTACATGTATTAAATCTAAAGCTGAGGTCAATATGGACAACAAATATGAAACAATGACATTCATTTTGACGGACAAAATTAATCTAATTTATAGAAAGCTGAAGAAAAAATAAGAGTATGCACGTGCGCTTTATATCTATTCATATATAGTATATTTATATTTCTTTTCCTCAAAAATTAATTGGAAATTTTTGTTTATATTTATTTGTTTGTTGTTTAACGTCCCTCTCAAGAATATTTTGACTGTCCTTATCTAATTGGTTTTTCCCGCATTTCTTAAGTGCTTGTGGTTAGAGAGGATTTTAAATGTGATCGTATCCTTTGGTTATAAATCCAGTTTGTACTACTTCTGATTATTTTACGGAATTACAGTCTTTTTAATTTTTATGGGTTTCTCCACACTTTTGCTCTAAACGCTTGCAGATACTTTGCTTAATTTTTGTGCCTGAGTCTACGCTGCGTCATAGCATCAAGCATGCAATTTATTCCTCTTCATTGAAATTGTCGTAATTATGCCATCTTCAATTTTAATGAGAATAAGACTACATTTTTCGATAAGGGACTAGTTTTATTAACGCAATTCTCGCAGTATACAGTTTACTTACAAGTCATCTAAAGTCCTTACTAATATTCATGTTTACTTTAGTGTAAGCGCAATCTGCAGATACTGTTCTTTATTGTCTTTATCTCTTGAATAAATAAATATTCAGAAGTTTTAATAAAAACCTCCTCATTAAACTCTGGAAACTTTCTCCAAGGGTAGTCCAGAATTACTGAACCCACTGCCACTTCTGTAGATTTGTTTGGGTCAGAGCCATCTAAAATAACAAATTGACAATGTGCCCAAAAATGCTGATTGAATCAGGTACATGTAATACGAGGGGTGATCAAAAAGCTCGCAAACAAATTAAATAACTTCCAAAAATGAAATGATATAGAGTTTAAGTGTTGAAAAAGTAGTCCTTTCCTGTTTTTATGCGAATCTGCAACCATTCTGCCCACGTGATAGAGGTGGACACGTGACGTGTTCCTTTGCGTTCTGTCACAGAAGCTTAAATTTTTTTCCGACCCCTATATTCCTTACCATGCAGGTTATTTTTCCAAACAAAAACAGTCCATTTGTCAGATATGGCCTAATCTCGACAATAGTATGGGTGGATAATGATAATCTTATGCAGAATGAGCATGGTTACCAGCAAAATCTAAGTCCCCTGTCTTTTGAGCGTCGTTTATTTCATGTGGATAAAGAATGTGCGCCGTCACTTTATCATATCTGATATGTTTAAAGTCCAACTTAAACGATATTTTAGGGATTTGATAATTATATCATTGTGAAGATATTCATCTATGTTTTTAACCTGAAGTTGATTTTTACATTGTGACGTCACAAACACGTGGAAAACGTTCCATTACATAAGAAATTTATAGAACATGTGTATGACTTAATGTCTGTCACATTCATTCTCATCTGAATTTTGGTTTTGTAAATATAGAGAAAGTTCGCGAAATTTTAAACCACCCCTCATAGTTTTCATACTTTATCAATAAAATTCAAGATACCTTTTTTTTTAATTAAAGGATACCTTTTACTTGGTATACTTCTAGATCAGTTACTTGAAGATGACCATTTGTTATGGAATTCACGTTCTGTCCATTTAACAAATAAATGTTTCCCATATTTAAAGAGCCATTCAAAGGAAAGTACTTTCCAGACTTGTTGATAGTTCCACTAAAGGAACGAATGTCACTGTCACCAAATGTTGGCCCATAACTTGATTTTCCATACCCTGCATACATGTAAGAATTGTGGTCAATTGGAAACTTCAGGGGATTTGATGACCCATTATACTGCAGTCGAAACAGAAACGCATTAGGATCGTTGATGAAGTTGCTGTAAGAATGCCAGCTCTGTGACAGGTACCCCCCGTAAATCGTGTTATTTGTGTTGTATAAAACCGTTACTGTAGGTCCCTGCCCGTCACACTTCTGGTGGAATGTTGCAGCTGAACATCCATCTCTGCTGATCTTGTACAATAACCGTAAGTGGCAAGTCTTCCCTATCCAGATTGCCAGCTGATCTTTGTATACCTGATCCAGAAGCTCCGTCATTTTTCTCTTTGTAAAGAAGAGGAAGTAATGATTGCAAAAAGATAAGAATTTATCTGTTTTAAAGTTCAAAAGAATTCATCTATTTGCATCTATTTTAGTTAAAACATAGTCTTAAACAAGAGACCTAAAAGCCCCAATATTCATACTTTTTAAAATGAACCTACAGATTGATTATTTATGTGATACATGTAGATGGAGACTTTCTTAAACGTATCCGTGAAATATATAATGTTCCAAGTTTTCAGTACTTAAAGGTACAGTGTATATTGTTTAGACTTTAGATCCATCTTACAAATTACAGTGTTCCTCTATTTTTAGAATTATAAACTAAATACTTGAACATTTTACATAATAGACTTGGTTTACTTCCTTTAAATCATTTTTCTCCTGTTAATTGGGACACACTCAAATTTAGATCTTTTAGGCACTTCTGCATGCTTATCAAATACCGATCGACTAAAAAATATTTACGTGCCAGCCCCCGGATCACTGAGGCAAGGGACCTCCATTTATAGGGTTTCATCCGAAGGACTGACAGATAGTTTGACAATTTATAGTTTCTGAACCTTTCATAAAGAACAAAACAGCAGTGTACATGAGCTTACCTTATTTCAGTTCCACGTACACATGCAGCAGACTCACTATAATAGAAAGACCCAAAATGTTTTAGATAGTATTAGTACACTTGTATATATCATTTGGTTTTTTTTCTTAATAGTGATTCTTGGAAACTAAGAAAACGAAACTTATTTTCACAAAACGCACAAATTCAGGTTTTCTATTTCAACATGTAAAAATTATTCTTTCTAACTTCCTTTTTTGAACTTCTAAAAACACAGGGCCCCACAGGTGCAGCTTACCTGGTGCTGTATAAAAATGTGCATCTGGAAAAACGAGAAGACTTTTTTCTTTGTTTACATGTATAAATTTCTTACTGATATCATGCATAAAAATTTTGAATGTGTTTTTTTTTAATTACAGCGATCCTGATTGCGAAAACTAAGAAGACTGGGGGATAAGGCAAACGAAGTGCCTATAGTGTCTCATATTAAGAAATCATATTTAACATGTGAATTGAGTATTTGAATTAACTTTTCATTATTTTTGTGAAGTTATGAGAAGAAAAACTGCCGAGAGAAAAAATTTCTTTTATAAAAATATAAAATGATATTCGGGGGATTCTAACCCTAGCGATAAAAATCCGACGTATCATACAGATATTAGACTAACGCGCTAACCACTATGGTACATGGCACATGATGATTTTGGGCAGTTAAATCATGTTTGTGATATGACCCCTGACTTAATGGACTTTAAGTATCTCTCGAAAGGTAAACTGGGTATTCGTTCAATGTTTTTTTGTAAACCATCAAATGTGTATTTTATTGCAAACTTTAGGATTATCTTTCAAGACATGGGGCGAAGATCTATTCATATTAAAAAATTTTGTTAAGGTATGACAAAATGATCGTTTTTGTTCTTTTCAGTGTATGTATGCTATTTCATAGGCAAATATTTTCAGTGTATGTAAGATTTAAAATCGTAAATTGTACAGACTTTACATTGAGCAACTTTAATATTAGATGAAATAGCAAATAAAATTTGGATTTAATACGGAACTTCCGAGATACGTATCCGATCTGGGTTGTATGCACAGGCGCTTGTTTCATACAGTGAGCTTAGTTTTCTACTATATAATAACACAAGGTATCCATCTTTCTCGAGACCAAAAATGAAGGTCACAAATTCAAATCCCTTTTTTATTTATTATCCGCCGCTGGCAACAAAAAACCCACATGTAATGGTTAGCGGAATTCCCCTTCTTGGACCTCATGTATATTTCCTTACCTCAACCCCTCGCGAACTTTGACATTGACCATAAAATTACACGCTTCGTCAATCGAAAGAAAAAGTACATCTCTAAACAGCTCAGCACTTCCGGTTTGGCAACCGCGATATGATTCACAAGTTCTCATTGGCTACTGGTACTCTCGGGAGTTTTCCATGCAAGTGTATAAGGCACAAGAGAAAACCGAAATAATATTTTGGCGCAAATTTGAAAATCGATATTGTTCTAGGTTTTCTGTCAAATATTTTGTAAGATGACAACGTCTTGGTGATTTTTAAGATGATTTGATAGTTATTCTTAAAGCAAAAATATTTTGTTAAGGATCCTCTCTACACCAGAGCAAAATGTACCAGTAGCCAATGAGATCTTGTGTTTTATATCGCGGTTGCCAAACCGGAAGTGCTGAGCTGTTTAGAGATGTACTTTTTCTTTCGATTGACGAAGCGTGTAATTTTATGGTCAATGTCAAAGTTCGCGAGGGGGTGAGGTAAGGAAATATACATGAGGTCCAAGAAGGGGAATTCCGCTAACCATTACATGTGGGTTTTTTGTTGCCAGCGGCGGATAATAAATAAAAAAGGGGTTTGAATTTGTGACCTACATTTTTGGTCTCGAGAAAGATGGATACCTTGTGTTATTATATAGTAGAAAACTAAGCTCAGTGTATGAAACAAGCGCCTGTGGTTGTATGCTTTGTTTATGTCAATTGTTAGGCATACTCACTTCCGGTTTACAGAAAAATGGCATTGACATCGCTTAACGATTTCGATTCCTGGCAAGTACCTGGTTTAAAGCATTTTTTATCAACGAAGGGTATTACATGTTCCATCTATCGGAAGAGACATCTTATTAAATTATGTAAATTGGCGGTAGAAATTAATTCAGAAGATCAAGAAGTAAACAACCTTTACCAGCTGACCAGTTCACTGACAAGAATCAGTGAAGAATCCATGTCGGGTACAGTGTAGGCCTAGGGTGCTGCTTGTTGTCTCGTCTCTGGAACTGTCTGATACTAAGCATAGAATCATGCTGCATTCGCGAAATGATTTTTGACAATGTCAATATGAGAACTTGTAAACAGTTTGTACCTATTGTCATGTTTGTACAATTTCAAACCTGGGGAATCCCATCCTATGCGGAGTAGCCAAACCAGAACGTCTCCAATCTCAATGTCAGTATTGTTTTTGAGTTTGACAACCATTCATCGGCAGAAATATCCGTGATGTGGGGTAAAACAACTTTATTGACTGTTCAGCTTACCACGTCGAGAGCACCAAAGTCATTATTTATGGACAAATACAGTCAGGTGGATGCTCTTGTGTTGTGTAAGAATAATTTATATTTAAAGAAAAGGTCACTAATACTAAACTGTAGAGGATTATTTTAATTATTGAAATATATTCATTTACTTGATGTTAATAAATTTAAAAACCATGTTAATTTTTAATTACAGAGACAGACACACACTAGTCGGAACTGGTGTCTTATGTTCATGGGATAAACCACGCTCTGCATCATGACCTGAAAAAATTCAGAATGTACAGGTTTACAGCTCCAACTCGACAACTGAACACGATCAACACGGTCCGTGTCATACTGTATTCAACCCTTGTAAAAGTATTCATAATGAACACGGAATTGTCAGTTGAAAAAAAAAATATTTGATTTGTGCAAGATACTAGTGAGGACATTCTAGCATTACAAGAAGCAAATATAAAGAATATTTCCTGTGACTTCAAATTTAGGTATTCTTTCCCTTCCTACTGCAATTTTGTTTTACCAAACAAGGATTCCTTACCTTACTTTTCTATGACAGAGAAAATATAAAGCATACAGGATGAATAAATCTATGCATCATAGACAGGATAATTCAGTAATTTTTTTTTTATCTGAAAAGTTGTATACATTTTTCTTTCGAGCATACCATGCATTCATTAGAATACACAAGATAGCTTAATTCTTAATTGGTATGATTTATATTTCAACTTTTTATATTACATTTACCGGTACATCTTCTCTGATATTTCTTCAGAAATTCAAAACTTATAAAGTACATGTATACATCTACAGTAAGATGAGCTTCGAGGTTAAACATACTGGTCACAGAGAAGTTTTACTTCCTTCATAGTGCAGATGTTAAAGTTTTTTTTTTTAAAACAGGATTCATTAATGTTTATAACAGGGATTTCATTATAACTGTCGGGAGTTTTACAGCATCAAAACAGATAATTTTCCATCTTGTATTTTAACAATAATCCTGTACACATTCTGATACAATCTATGAATTTAGAAAAACAAATTAATGAGCTTGCTATAATATTTTATTGTTCACCATATTTCCAGATATAGCCAGACAGCTGAGCATATGATTTGAAGTGAGAATAACATGATCAATTGATAATATTTTACTCAAGATCTTCTTTTTACAAACTCACATTTTGATGTTTCTTTACAACTCCACATAAAAAATAACTTGCTTGAACAGAAATGAATAAGATTATGATAACTTGTTTTATTTTGAAATTTGAATGTCTTTCTTTTCCATTTTTAAAATTTCAGATGTAATTTGTTGATATAGTTTTACTTCATAACTTGCATCACCATTTTTCTAAAGTAAAATAATGAAAAACTAGATGCTGTCATGAGACAGTAATACCCGCACTAAGGTGTTTGCCTCTAAATGCACACTCCTCTAAAATTGGGCTTTACCAAGGAAAAAGTCAATATAATTCAATAATTTACATAATAGGGCCTCCATGTATTCATCAAATTGAGCATGATATTCTCAAGTGAACATGTGACCCATGGGCCTCGATCTTATAGGTACACGTATTTCATATTCGTAATTCATTACCAGTCTGAAATTAAACAACAGAATTCAATTAATGAAGTAAATTAGGTTTGAAACAAGGGGGGGGGATAAAATTTTGGCCCATAATTGGAACTTTTTAAATCTATTTTCTCATATAGATCAACAACAATTCAAATATTATTCAAATTAGTGTAAAGCGTTTTTGATGATTTTTTTTCAAAATGTACAAACTTTTTTATATTTGATTAGGCAGAAACACCTTGAAAGCTGCCATATACCATGTATACCCAATCAATTTAGTCAACCCCCACCCCTCTCCCATCAACACACACACACACAAACACACCCTATTTTCCTTTTTTTGGAAATAGGCCTAGATGGCAAAGTTAAGATAAAACATCTTTTGTAAATGATAATTTTAAATTTGTTCTTATACTGTAAATGTATCTGAAGACCTGCATCACATTTGGCTTGCGTCACGTACCTAACTTAAGTACTAGTTTTACCATTATCATTTTTAGATAGCACTGCACGTGCAGTACTAGGCCTAGTGTTGTGTACACATCATTGCATGTATGTCAGTAGGAATTATTTTGTGTTTTAATTGGATTATATTTCATGAAGTTGGAGCTATGGCAGTCGGTAAGTACACGTTTTGGTATAGATTTGGGTAAAATAGTCTGAAATGCAACTGGTTAGGTTAAAGTTTAAAGGATCAAAGGTCATCCGATGCTGCAAAAAGACGAATTTCACATTCTAAAGAGTTATCGCCCGTTATCGACGTTACATTCAGTTACAAGATACAGAATTTTTTTTCTGGGAGGGAGGGGTATTTCCAGACCAGAATTTCCTGAGAAGCAAATAAAAGGAGAAGTTATGGTGGTGTCTGTTTTCTAGGGTGGAGGGCATCCAAAGTCTTTTTTATATTACAGTCCTGCAAATTCGGGTGGGGGGGGATCTCAAGATACACTTCCAGTCCCTGTAAACAGTAATGGCAAATGATCATGTGACTCCTAAATAGTAAGAAACTTTTTCCATTTGACCATACATAATTTTGCGCTTTTTGTGTTATTATGTTATGTAAATTTAATGGT